ACAGGACCCCGGCACCGTCCAAAAACGACAGGGGATGAAAAGCCGGGCCAGGGGAAGTGGTCGAGATCTCTGGGGGTCGACGCGGTGAGAAAAAATAGGGGCATCAGGTGTCTGGGAATGTTGTCCAAAACCGACAGCGAAGTTGGGCAGGCGTCTTTCTCAATTGAGCAGGGACCGACCGTCCCGGCAGTCCTATAGGCCTGCCACGACGTGTTCTTAAAACCCAACAATGTTCTAACAACAAAAACAATATTCTTAGAACCGAAGCCCGATGTGTTAAAGCAAGACAGTCCCAGCCAGAAATGCTCTAAGAACATTTCCTGGAGACCACACAACGTTCTAAGAACATCGTCTGGTAGGCCTATAGGCGAGCCAGGGCGCTTCGCCCACTGCTTGACTCAAGTGGGCACCGTTCGCGGCGGTGCGGACAGTGAGTCCTGTTCATGGGGGGAAAACAAACCTACCTCGCTTTTGACCACCCTCGCTTCCAAGAGATACCAAGCGATGCCAAACTACGGCCTGTACTGGTCAGGGCGCTTGACGAGGAGGCGCGTGGTATGACTTGGTTTTGCCTGGAAGCGAAAGCGGGGTAGGTCATTCACGCTCTGAGTTCAGGACGGGCAGGAGCAGGCACTGCCGATGCCGATCACGTTCACGACTCTGTCCTCCAGATCGTCGGGTCGGCCGGCGGGTGCGCGCGGCGAGCCCGGTGAGCGGAGGCCTCCCATCAGAACTAGTTCGGGCGTATCCCCCCACGACAGGCGGATTTGGGGCGAAAGCCTAACAGAGCATCGCACATTACAAACAGAGCACCGAAACTTCCGAGAAGATCGTCCCCCGACTTCTCTTTCTGTAGGATGTTCCTCCTGTAGAGGGACAGGCCCGACTTCACATCAGAAGTCGGCTACACGCAGGAGTGACCCTGGGTAAGAGTGACCTTTGGTGCGCGGCTGTTGGGGGGCCGCGGGGGGACCAAACACAGGAGCGCAAGGCGCTACTATCGCATCGCGTTCGGCGATCGGGAAGCCCCACTGGGCCCGCACCAAAGGTCACTCCGGCGAAAGGTCACTCTTACGTCTAGTCGAAGAAGGCAAGGGGGGGCTCCTTTGAAGCTCGCCCGGCCTCCGAGAAGCCTCCTTTCGGAGCCCATGCGGCCCAGTGGGGCGGCCGCCCCACTCGCGCCACCCCCCTGGTGGGCGCCGCCTGTCCTCTCTGGCCCCAGAAACGCCGCCTGGGTGCACCTCCCTCCTCCCTCCTCCCTCCTCCTCCTCCTCCTCCTCCTCCTCCTCCTCCTCCTCTCCCTCCTCTTCTCCTCCTCCTCCTCCCTCCTCTCCTCCTTCTCCTCCCTCCTCCTCCTCCCTCCTCCTCCTCCTCCTTCTTCCTCCTCTCCTCCTCCTCCTCCTCCTCCTCCTCTCCTCTTTCCTCTTCCCCTCTCCTCCCTCGCCTCCTCCTCCTCCTCCTCCTCCTCCTCCTCCTTCTCCTCCTCCATCCCTCCTCCTCCTCCTCCTTCTCCTCCTCCTCCTCCTCCTCCTCCTCCTCCTCCTCCTCCTCCTCCTCCTCCTTCCCCCCCTCCTCCCGGGAGCGCTGGAGGAGCAGCCGCGGAAGGACATTAGCCCCTTTCGAACCCGAACTGGTCCCGACTCACAAGCGTCCTGGCTGTGCCCGCACAGCCACGCGCAAGAGCCCAGGCATCCGACGTCGTGATGCTTCTACACGTGGCCCCCGGTCTCTGGTGATGGGTTTGTTTTCCACCACCACCACCATGAGTTGGAGGGGGGCAGAAGGACGACGAAGAGGAGGAGGACGAAGAGGAGGAGGAGGAGGAGGAGGAGGACGAAGAGGAAGAGGAGGAGGAGGAGGAGGAAGACCTCCTCCCCCTCCAACTTATGGTGGTGGTGGTGGAAAAAGGGCCCATCATCTTGGGCACGCTGTTAATCCCGAGCCACTGCTCGACTGTCCTGGGGTCCGGCGTGGGATCATAGAAGCGAAAACCTGCTGACAAAAAAACAAGGGCTTGCACCTTCCAGCGCGCTGGAGGTCTGGAACTCTCTGCCACCAGGCTCGCGAGGCCGCCCTCGCGGAATAGGCGCTCGCGCAAATGGGCGCTCTCCCGAGGCGCGCGTGAACTCACGTGCGCGTGCTTCCGGAGGTCGGGAAGGCGAACACCCACCCCCACCCCCAGTCCCGACCCCATCTCCGAACCGGCGATCCAGGGGTCGGGACTGGGGTTGGGGGTGGCTTTCCGGGGCCCCAGAGATGGAGAAAGCCCACCCCCACCCCCAGCCCCGACCCCTCGGATAGCCGGCTCGGGGATGGGAGTCGGGACTGGGGGTGGTGGGTTTTCGCCCTCTGAGAGATCTCTTCCCATCCGTCGGTCTCGCAACCTGCCAGATGTTGAGGGGCTGCGATAAGGGGGATAGGCATGGGGGGATGCATCGACCTGGAATCGGCGGTACATCGTCGATAGATCGGCGATGGGCCCCCGATAGTGACTCCGCACCGTCCTGGGCGGGGTGGTGCCATCGGGCCCCCATCGGCGATCAATGGGCGATTGCGGGTTGATGCATTCCCCCATTATGCCTATCCTTGGAGGCCTGCAAATGGGCACCAATACCAACACAGGGGGGTGGCCTCCACAGGGGGAAGGTGATCCTAGATTTCGGTGTTGGTGGTTATGCTTCGGTCACCTTGAAAGCAAGAATACTACTACCACCATAGCCAAGATCGGGATCTTCTTCCCTCGCTGGGGGGACACCACCGATATTGGTGTTGGTGTCAACCCCGAGGCCTGCGATCCCCCCCCCCTCTCGAGGCCCCCGAGATGTGCTCTGCTCGCTCCTCCGCCGCCGCCCCTCCTCCAGACGCCGCGGGCCCCAGCCCCTGCGAGGGGGGCGCAGGCGCAGAGGGGAGAGCGGGCTCGGGGGGAGGAAGCACGTCGAGCCCGCATCGGCGACACACCGCCGACGCACCGGCGGTGCAGCAGGAGCCCGGCCACACGAGGCCTCCCACGAGAAGCCCAAGACCACCGCCAGGCCGGCAGTGCTTCGGTCCGCCGCTGCGGGGGCGAAGGCGTACTGCCCGGGCCCCGGGCGGTACCGCCCCGTCGTGCGGTGTGCTGCCAACGACGCTCGCGGAGGCAGCTGCCCGCCACACGCGCCGTCCTGCACTCCCCCGTGCAGGTCGTGTGTGGCGCTCCCCCCCCCATCCCTGATGAGGTGTACGCGCCTGAGCTGCGCACGGCGCCGCCGAGGCGCCGGACCGCTCGGCTCTGCGCGCGCGCCGCAACAAGAAAGAGAAACCCATCCCTGAGGCCCCGGGACGCCTGCTGACTTTTGGCGTGGGAGCGCCACGCCCTTCCATAGCAGGACCGTGGACACCCGAGAAACCTCACGGCACCGAGCTTGCAGACGTACCGCAGCGGATTTTTGCGCGGATTCCTGTCAATGCAAAACCCCGCGAAACGGCGAGCGAAACACGAAGTTAATTTCACGTGGATTTCTTTGAGTCTTCCTTCCTGGCCCCCCCCCACAAAAAAAATCTGCACAAAATTCGCTTCGAAATCCGGAGCGAAATTCTCCAGGACAATCCCGGCCCATCCCAGTGTTTTCCGAACGAAATCCGCTCTGCGATATTGGCGCCATGAGTCGGGGGTGCGCAAACATGGATTGGCGATCCATGGATTTGGCGCGCGGTCGCCAAAACCAACGGATCGGGGGAGGTGCCCTCCCCAAAATGCGGCCGGTGCCGCCTCGTTCGGCGGCGGAAATCCGCGATCCCCCATGGAAACGGGACCCGTCGCTCATCCACGCCCCCTTTTGACCCATGCTTGCGCCCCGGAGGCAAAGCAGAGGGCGTGTCTCGGCATGGCCCCCCCCCCCCGCTGCAGGCCCCCGGTAGTGGCGACACACCCCACGGCCCGGGGCGGGGCGGGCTTTCGGGCCCCGAGCGGCGATCGACGGGCCGCCGTAGCTCGCTGCATCTCCCTCCTGGGCCTATCCGCCCCCCCTGAGCTCAGGTCGGGCATGTCCCCCTGCAGGAGGATTTTGGAGGAACAACTGAAAATAGTGATGGCATGCTCAAGCATAGTCAAACATGGCAGAACAATCATCCGCAGACTGTTTCTGGACCATGTTTGAAAGTATTCCTCCTGTAGAGGGGGATGCCCGACTTAAAACCCTAACCTGGCCTCTGAACCTGCACCTCCCCCCCCCCTTCCCCTCGCTGCCCCCGGCGCCTTCTTGGACATCGCCGCAAACAGCTTCTCGTTGGGGCAGCTCGCGGCCGCGAACGCCCACACGAGGTTGGACAGCTCCTGGGCGCGATAGGGGTCGAGGGTCGAGGCTCGATGGCCGAGGGCTGAGGGCCGACAGCCGGGGGTGGAGCATCGGAGGTGGAGGCCCGAGGCTCGGAAGACCGAAGATCGAGGGCCGATGGTGAACGTGTCCTTAATGCGGCGTTTCGACATTGGGCGGAACTCGGGGATGGACAAACCTCCCTTTAGTAAAACGTGGTTCAGTGAAAACGACCTCGGGCTCAAACCTGGCGGGCGCAAGCCTGGAAAATGACGGCCGCGGCGCCCTCTCGAGAACCGAGAACGGACAATTCACTAATCGACGTGTCACTGTTGGGGGTTCTGTCCGCCCCCGATTCTTATGCGGCGTTTCGACATTGGGCGGAACGGGGGGGGGAGGGGGGGGGTCTAGCTCCGGACCTCTGCTTAAGGCGACTGTCTGCAGCAGCGCGTTCCATGGGGGAGTCTCCCCCTGCTTGAAGCAGGCGCCAAGAAACAGCCCAGGACTACTCCACGGGGGGGCGGGGGAGGGGATGGGAGGACCCGCGCCGATCGGCAAAACAATGAATCAACAACCGACCACATGACCGCGAACCGAGGGTAGAGGATCGGGAGTGCAGGATCGAAGGGGCCGAGCCTGGAGGATCGACGGATCGAGGGTGGAGGACCGAGGGACGAGGGCGGGGAGGGATGGGGGGGAGGGGATCGGACCGCCCGCCCGCGATGGGGTGGGGGAGAGGGGCCTCGCCATCGCTCGGACGCCCATTCCCCGTGCACGTCTCAAGCTCGTGCGCATGTTGTTCGCAAGAGGATCCAGACTGCTCCTCGGTGGCCCCCCGCCAGGACAACGTGCACACGTCCAAGCGATGCCCCACGGGGCTGGGCCAGCGGCTCGTCCTGCGCCTCCCCCTAACGGGGGCGCGCAGACATGGATTGGCGATCCATGGATTTGGCGCGCGGTCGCCAGATCCATGGATCGGGGGAGAGGTGCCCTCCCCCAAAATGCGGCCGGTGCCGCCTCGTTCGGCGGCGGAGATCCGCGATCCCCCATGGAAACGGGAGCCGTCGCTCATCCACGCCCGCTTTTGATCCACGTCTGCGATCGCCCGATCCGCCTCGGCCTCCGACCACGGCGGCCTGGCCGGGCCAGGCGATCGGGACGCGCCGATGCAGATCGCGGTGCCAGCGTCGGGGCCAGCGCGTCGCCCCCTGCGGAGCTTGTCTGAGCCAGGTTGGCCACCGGCGGTGTGCGTGCAAAAAGTGGTTCAACACGTGCGCTGCCCCTCGTCGTCCTCTGTGCCCTCGCCCCCCTCCCGCGCCCTCGTCCTCAACGGCGTCGTCGTCCTCCTCCTCCCCGTCTTCCTCATCTCTCCCCTCCTCCTCGTGCTCCACATCATCTCTCCATTCTCCTTGTGCTCCTCCTCCTCCTCCTCCTTCTCCTCCTCTTCCATCCATTGTCCGTATAAGCAACTCCTCCATGCCGCAGCCCCGGGAGTGTTGGTAGTGCGGGCAGGGCGTTTCGCCTGAGACTTTCCGGAAGCATGAAGTTTACACCAACTTCAAGGATGGAGCACGCGCCGTTTTTTGAAACAGGAAATCTAGCCTCAACGCCGCGTACATCCGCCTTCGGATATTGCAGGATTGGGCTTTCGCCTCACCGCCCCGCATATTCGTGAAGCTTGCAGCAGCTTCACAGGTGAAGTGGCTGGTTTTAAAATGGGGCTATCGCCTCAGCGCAAGGCACTTGCGTGTCAGATATGCGCGAAGGCTTTAATCGTGCATCACATATCGATTCCACAATGGGACTGTCGCCTGAACGTTTTCAACAGCTTGACGGGTGAAGGGCGCTTCCTTTTTCAAAACTGACTCTCGCCCTGTCGGCGCGCAGATTCGCTTTCAAACATTACAACAAAAAAAAGGTGCAAGGGTGGATCACAGGTCGTTTCCAAAAGGGAATTGCCGCCCAAACGCCACACACAGTCGTCCTACAAGTCGCCATTTCAGAATGGTGGCTCGCACTTCAGCGCCGCGCACACTCGTCTTTAACCATGTGCACCAGCCACGAGGACGCAGGACAGCGTATAAAACAAAGGTGTCTCGCGTGACGTCTTTAACAGTACTTGCAACATAATTTACCATGAGTAACAGCTTAACAGGAGGGCGGTTCCTGCGCAACATGTGTCCCTCACTTGAGCCTTCTTCCTGACCATGAGCGCAAGTATATGCAAAAATGCTGATGCATCTTGTTGGAGGGTTGCAACGTTGCATCAACACCAACACAGGGGGGCTGTCGTCACCAGAGGAAGATGCTGTTCGATGTTGGTGCCAGTGGTAACCGTTCGGCCACGTAAGAAACCCGAGTATTGCAACAATCAGCAGGATTGGGTCCATCTTCCCTGGGTAAGTGCAACCGACGAGATTGGTGATGATGCAATCCGCATGGCGTGCCCGCACCAAATTTCGCACATCCCTCACGCGTACCGTGGCCCCCTAGGGAGCTCCATTAGAAGCCCCAACGGCACACTCCGCATGGCGTGCCCACACCCGATTCGGCGCACCCGTCACACAATTCGTTGCCCCACGGGGAGCTCCACCGAAGGCCCGAAGGACACAGCCCGCATGGCGTACCCGACTCGGCACACCCCTCACACGCTTCGTGGACCCAAAAGAGCTCCACCGAAGCCCGCAAAAACACAGCTCGCATGGCGTACTCGTGCTCGAAGGGCGCCCAAGGCGCTCCACCCAAGGCCCCAGCGGCACACTGCGCAAGGCGCACCCGCACCCGATTCGGCGCACCCATCACACGTTTCGTGACCCAATAGGAACTCCGTCACACGTTTCGTGGCCCCCCAGGGAGCTCCACCGACGGCCCCAGCAGCACACTGCGCATGGCGCACTCGCACCCACTCTGGCACACCCCTCACACGCTTCGTGGCCCCATAGGGAGCTCCACCGACGGCGATACCCACAACGACGGGACTCACAACTGCATATGGCAGGGTCCTTCGCAAAGACACTTGTCACTACGTTGACCCCACAGAGCCCTCCTAGATGGGGTTGGAGTATATGGGATCGGAGGATCGCGCCGCATCGGCGATGCATCGTCGACTTCGGCGGTGCATCGGCGACGTCGACGTGAAGCCCATCGGGCTCCACACCGAGCCGCATCGGCGATGCATCGGCGATGCGGCGAGATCCTCCAACCTGAGCTACTCCGACCCCATCTGGGAACCCTGAAGGAGCAGGAGGAGGAGACGGAGAAAGAGGAGGAGACGGAGGAGGAAGGGGGACGAGGAAAACGAGGAGGAGGAGGAGGAGGAGTAAAACGAGGAGGAAAACGAGGAAAAGGAGAAACACGAGCAAAACAGGACAACTAGGAAAAGGAGGAGGAGGAGGAGGAGAACCAGGACGAGAAAAACGAGGAGGGGGAGGAGGAGGAGGAGAAGGAGGAGGAGGAAGAGAAGGAGGACGAGGAGGAGGGGAAGGGGAGGAGGAGGAGGAGGGGGAGGAGGAGGAGGAGGAGGAGGAGGAAGAGGTGGGAGGAGGAGGAGGGGGGGCGAGGAGGAGGAGGAGGAGGAGAGGAGGCGGAGGGAGGGGGAGAGAATGAGGGGGAGGAGGATAACGAGGAGGAAAGATGAAGAGGGGAGGAAAAAGGAACGGGGAGGAGAAAAAGGACAAGAAGGATGAGGAGGAGGAGGAGGAGGCAAAGGAGGAGGAAGAGGAGGAGAAAGAGGAGGAGAAGGAGGAGAAAGAAAACTAGGAGGAGGAGGGGGAGGAGGGGGGAGGAGGAGGAGAGTGAGGAGGAGGGGGAGGATGATGATGATGATGATGATGAGGAAGAGGAGGAGAAAGAGGAGGATTATGATGAGGAGGAGAAGGAGACGGAGGAGGAAGAAACCCTAAGAGATCTCGAACCGTTCCCGGGACCACCTTCGTCCCGAACACCTGTGTGCAGGCCCACGGCTTTTGGGGCGAACCCCGCAGAGGCCAACAAGAAAACATGAACAACAGCAAATCCCTGCGTCGTGTTGCCTGTGCACCACGCGAGGGCGTCGGTGCCTCTGGAGGTTCACGCGAACGTTTTCATATTCTGCGCTTCGGCATTGCTTCATTATTCTGCGTTTCGACATTGGGTTCAATGTCTCTGGAAGTTCGAACGAGCGTTCTCTCATTCTGCGTTTCGGCATTGCGCGGGGAGCGCGAGGGGGGGTTTTGGCTCCGGACGTCTGCTTACTGCGACCGGTTCCAAGAGTGCGTCCTTCGGGAGAAACCCCGCCCGCTTGAGACAGGCGCCGGAAGCAACCAAGATCTAATGTCAGCCTGTGCTTAACACAAGTCCGTGGGGGGCGCGTGTTTAAAAAGATAATTCCCCTGCTCGGGCGAATCGCGGGGTGGCGCCCGCCAGATTGAAAATCAATGGGGCGGCGCCGGTGATTCGCGCCGACGCCTGGCCGCCAACGAGGGGCAAGGGGGGGGCGTTTGGAGGCAAGGGCGAGCCAGGGTGTCCCTTTTTTTGTCGAACCGATGCGGGCCTGCGGGCAAGGCGAGCTAGACGAAAGCGGGGCGCAAGAAAGGGAGGATTTGCCTAGCAGCTCGCGTTTCCTGGCGCCGAAAACGGCCATGCGTCGAGGACTGGCCCTTCGGAAGGGCGACCAAAACCAGCTGCGCGCACCAGGCTTTGCCACCCCCCCTTTCCTTCCCCAGCCTTTCGTCCGACCCGAGCAAGGCGGGTAGTCCTCCTCCCCCCCTCTGTCGCCGTCGTCGCCGCCGTCCCCCGCCCTGCCTGTCCCCGTTTCCTGCGGCCGCTCTCTTCGTCGACGACGACGACGACGACGACGACGACGACGACGACGACGACGACGACGACAACGGGACGAAGACGAGGACGACGGACGCGGACGGCAGACGGCGACGGCGGCATGGTCGGGTTGGTTTCGCGTCAAGCAGCTTCACGACAAAGAAGAGACATATTCACGACAAACAAACCCGCTTTCCCCAGCCGCTTTCACCACCCACCTTCGCTGCCCACTTTCGCCGCCCACCTTCGCTG